CGTTTATGTAAGTAATTGCTTTTTTTTCTGTAATGAGGGGTCCGAAGGCATATCTCATTAGTTTACTGAAGAAATTTGTAAGTGGTTTCAAACCATAGAAACCAACTTGGTAGGTATATTGTCTACCTCCTACAATAAAGCTTGTTAATTTCTGGGCCTCATCTGTTAGAGGTACTTGATGGTAGGCGCAAGAGAGATCACTACTTGTGAAGTATGATCCGTTTATTCTGGTCATGAGAACTTGTAGTGGTTCTAATGGCCAACTACAATTGCTAGTATCTGTGATTGAGTTTAGATACCTAGCATCCAAGACCAACTTAACGTAGTCTTTTTTTGGAAGAATGATGACTGGATTTACGAACCATGAGTTCATATCATCTTTTTCATTTAGTTCTCTGACTATGCCTGCTTGGATTAATTCATCCATTAACTTGTCCAATTTATCTCTTAGATGGACTGGGATTTTACTCGGTCGTTGTTTTTTGAACCTTGCGTCCTTTTTGAGTGGTATATGGAATTTATGTTTTGTTTTTCCAATATCATATTTGTGATGAGAATAAACATCTTGATCCTCTATCAGCATTTGAATTAGATCTGCAAATTCATCATCCGATATATCACTTTGGGTGAAATCGAAGTCAGATAAGAATTTAATAGTAGTTTCGATTTTTTCCAAAGTACTACTATTGTCCTTATCAATTGAGGAGTATTGGGTAAACGTTTCGTTGACTAGAAAGGCAATTAGCCGATCATTATGTTCTTTGTTTCGGTACTTTTTAAATTGTTCTTTCAAGGGAGGCCTGCAAAGGTTCTTTGCACCATTAGAAAAGTCGGTTGCTATTTCGTTTTCATTTTTGCATACTTTGACTATATCTGAACCAATTTTTTCAAATATTTCTGATACATTCTCTGTATCAAACACTTCAAGGGCAGGTATGTCCTTGATTTCTTGTCCTGAAACATAGACAAATATAGTAATTCCAGAATGTTGGAATACATCGACAATGATTTTGGAAACTTCTTCCCAATTCATTTTATCTAAGCCACAAGCAATTTTGGACATTGCGATAGATCGAATATTATTTGCTATAGCATGATCTTTCATTTCGGACAAGGTATTGAATATATTGTCGTAAGTGGGTTTCTGAAAGTACCTCTGTTTGGTAATCAGGTTATATATGATTTGTCTAGATTTTGGATCAGTGAAGATGAGAATATCGTTAATGTTAGCATGTATTGAGTTACAAAAGTTTCGTAGCTCGGGATACCTTTTGCTAATTGATTCAGCAAATCCTTTTTTCATTGCTCTATCTGCAGAGATTGTATGAGCAATGGGCATATTCGATTCGAATATGGACCTTTTTTTGAAGTCTACATATTGTAGACAGGGGCCGGATAATTGAGTATTGCTTTCCTGTGTTGTATTGACAACAGTGTTCAGCATGAAACAGCTATCGAATTCCGAACTTTCGTTTAAAATTCTCGTTGTGAACTCATCACAATCGTGGATAGCAAATATTTTATCCTCGTATCCTTGAATATCAGTTACTGCATAGCCTAGTACACACTTGTTTAGTGTGACAGGATGATCTTTCTGATTCTCAATTAGGATAGGTAGGCTTTGCTCAATTTGAGTACAAACTGTATTAATGAAAACCAATTCGGTTTTGGTTGTATTTTTATGAGGCAGGAATTTAGTCCCTTTTTCGAAGTATGAATTTGGTTCAGCCAAGTGTTTGTATAAGTATGTAGAGCGTGCTGGAATGAACAGGGGTTCTTTCAAGTTAATTGAGACAATTTTTGAAACGTTAGGATATTCTTTATCGTTGTTCATCAACCCGTATGATATTACACTTTCTTTTGATTTGAGCTCAACTGCGGGGATATCAAAGTAGAGAGCTTTTAAGAAGAGATGACAAAAGTCTACTCCTAACAGATTAGCAGTCTTCTCTTCAGTTATCCACACTTTGTGGTTAGATGGATATTTTCCATCAGTGTCGAAACAAGATTGAATAGATGTATGGCCAAACATACGTATATCAGATCCATTATAAGTCTTTGCTTTAATTTTGGATCGGTAAATTGTCATTTTTTGACCTAATTTTTCCAATTCTTGATAAGTTGGGTAGTTTATGATACTACAAGTTGATCCTGGATCAATCATGAATTCAATTTCAAGTCCACTATTATTATTTTTGTCTCCGGTGGCAAAATGATATAAGCTAAGATATATCCTTGATTTAGGATTACTATCATCGCTTGGTTTCGGAGACTTTAATAGTTTAAAGGAAAGAAATCAGTGATAGCATCACAGTAATTGACTTCTTCCTCAACCCAGTGGGTAGTTTCAGACTGTATTTGATTCGATCTAAAATTTGGTGATTGAGATCGCGTTGAGTCTCGACTGTTATTGCTATTATAGCTTCCAGTGTTATATGGTCGACCTCTAGGGTTACTATTGAATTGCCTATTTTCTTGGTCGTAGAACTGTTTAGCAACTTGTTCATTTTCTCTGAATTTGTTTTCTCTGGGATACCTATCATCATAGGTTTGAAGTCTTTTGTTATTGAAAGACGATTGTGCATTAGCCTTTTGGAAATTGTTTCCGTTGTAGTTATAATTATGGCGAATGCCATAGTTATTTTGGCTAGGATTTGAGTTGTTAGTAGTTCTGTTTTGGTTATCCCAAAACCGGTTACTTGGGTTAGGGTTACTCTGGTTAGGGAAGTTATTCGGTCTTCGATTTCGTTTATAATCAGTTTCAAATGAAACTCTTCGTTCATTTTTTGTTGTGAGCTCTTTCCTCAACTTATTTACTTCGTCCTGAACTTGCTTTTTTGAACATCTAGATTTAGAATGTCCATTCATTCTACAATATTCGCAGAATCGTGTACTATTAGGTCTTCCCTTGATGTCAGGGTGACGTCGTTGAAATGAAAACTGGTCACTGATTGCACTAACTTCTTGATTCTTGATCAATTTAGTTAGTTCTTTAATTTGAGTTTCTAATGAAGTCATTTTATCCGTTGTTGACTTATTAGCAGGATCAGTTGCAACAATGAATGTTAGATCCTTAGTGATTACAGGATTTGTGAATTGATCCCAATTGGCATTTGGATGCTCTATCATGTATTCATGAGCTTTTTGTTTAAGGGCTAGAGGTCTTAGTCCCTTAATTGAGAAATCGATATACTTTTGACTTCTTTGTCTGGTTTGTATAGTTCTCTCAGCATTTTGAGCAGCTTCAGTAGCATGAACGGTTTCATCAATACTTTCGGGCCATCCTCTATCTACAGAAGATTTAATTCTGTGGAAGTAATTTTTTATTAATTCGCCATCTTGGCGAGCTGCATTTTCAGCATCAATTCTATGTTTGAATTGATCTCGTCCGTCAGTAAATCTGTTTAGGAAGAGATCTTTGAGTTGTGCCCATGTGGTAGCATTGGTTACATTATCATTGAACCATTCAAGAGATGTATCAGTTAACAATGATCCGAATAGGGATCGTTGTCTGCTATCATAGCTGCGTCGTGCATCATTATCAGCAGGTCTTTGACCTAATGAGAAAAGAATTTTGTTTTCAACTGAATTCCAAAAAGCCGTAGCATTTTGGTTCGGATCCTTTCCCGAAAATGTCATTAAAGACAAATTGGGATGGGATATTGGGGTATCAGCCATTTTATATTTAGTTTAAAACTTTAAAAAGAAAGATAGAAAAATTTATAAATTTATTTAGAAAACTTAAATTTCCGATTTGGAAATTTATTACTTCTCTTTATTTGTAAGAGAAATTTCAACAATTCTCCAGTTTGAGAATTGGAATCTTTTGCTGTTTATCTCTTTTTGAGACTTTAGCAATTTTTGCGAATTTTTAGAAGGTAAGCCTCACTGGTCGCACCAATTTATTACGCTAGCAAAAACTATTTACGTCGGACAAAACGCTTGCTAGGAATAAAGGGTCCTTTCTACTTTCTATCTTAGAAAGTAAATCTAAAATTCGCTGAGAAATATTTTATTAGAAAAGAAGCTAGTATGAATTTACAGCAAGTTGCCTTTTGACTCAATATCTATTTTTACGGTTAGATTAGAGATATTTTTACTGAGAGTAGATATTATTTTAGAGATTGGTTGGGGTGGTAGAAGAGAGTGGTGTTGGTGTTAGAAGAGATATTGTTGGGAATGAATTCCCGTAGTTTTGAGCTTCTATTTATACTCAGATGGGGAAATCACGCCACTTTTCGTATCAAATGAGAAGTTACTTCCTAACTTCGTATTCTCTATTCGTACATTCGTATTTTACGAGAAGAAGGTTTCGTATGCTCGTATTTCACGAGAGGAATCGTTAATATTCGCTTTGAATGAGAATAGTCGTTTCAATTCTCAATGCTTAAAACGTTATACGAATTATTCCAATAGCATTTCCCTTCCTTTTGCAAGGGAATAAAAACATATTTCTTTTGGTGGTGGCGGCGGCGTCACATTTTGTGAACGCAATAAAATAATTCATGTTTCTGTTTCTATTTGAAATCAGAACAATATGTAACAAAAAAGCAGAATACTTTTTACTATCAGAACATCATCGATAAAGCAGAAGAACTTTACTGGGCCTACTCATAGTTCAAAAGATCGACACTTGAGTATGTAGCTCATACTGACTTCAACTTAATTAGAATAAAAGTGTCATTTTTTTGTATAATTTAATAAAGTAGGTAAATTTTTTGGGATTCTTTCCACGTTTTAATTATAACTGATTATTAGCATCTTTTTGTCCTGGAAGCTGGAAAAAATTAGAATATTTGCAAGCCTACGTAGGAAGCCTATTTTTATGATCTTTGAAGTAATATAATATTGCCGTTATGATTGTAATTCATGCTTGATGCATATGCAAGCTGAATTACTATTTTTTGGGGCTGAAAAACCAGTTGGATAACGTTCAAAACGTAATAAGGGTTAGAGGAAAAGAAACACGCGTTTTTAAGTGGTGCTTTTTCTCGCCTTAGGTTGTGAACTCGTCTCAGATGGTGAGATACGAGCACGATTTGCGCTACTGGGCTCAAGTGAAGGCCCAGCAAGACCAGGAGTTCACCATCACAGAACACAATGTGAACGAAATACACAAGGTGGGGGGAAGTGACAGTGCTCTGAAGAGTGTCAGGCTGAGGAACACTACACCGCCTCTCACTCCGTCAGATATAGACTTCAAGCACTATGAGGTAGTCTGTTGATTTGTTTCTACTGAAGTTAAGAAGAATTCATTTGTTTAAGAGTAATGAACGAAGTGAGTACTCTTATATAGTTCTTGGTGATTTTTTTTCAGGAAAAAGTCCTTAAATTTGTTCACGCTCAATTTTGATTTTTCGCGGTTTGACTTGTAATTTTTTTTTGAAGTTCAGTGTATTTTCGTTGTTTAAAGGAAGTCAAACTCCACTATCGAACAGCAAAATTGTAAAGGTCACGAAAAACGTGATTGGCTTCAAATTTTACAGCGAAATAGAAATTTTACCTTTTGATCCAGTTTTCTCAAATTGCGTTTATTTTAACAAAAAACTAACCATCATAAATTGTTCTACAAATTCAAAGAGCTTTTTTTCTTCGAAGTTCAAAAGTTGAAGGTTTTGAAAAAAACAAGTCAGTTTTTATTCAGTTTCCTTGCGTTCATTACTTTTTTCCAACTGTCAATTGGCTATGTTTTTTTTTACTAACAGTCTTAAAGTTCGGTGATGCTCGTGTTTTTTTTAATGGTTTGGAGTTATCTTAAAAGATCTTGTCTTAATTGTTAAAAATTACCGATGAACAATTGTATGTATTTTTTTCTTTCAGACGTTGCCTCCAATTAAGAAAACTAGAGGCGACAAAGACCACCGCAAATCCAACAGGAGAGCAAGGGAGGTACTCACTGAAGATGGATCCGAGGTTTGGATGAGACCAAGTCCTCCGAAGCCCTTCATCCTCCATCTGGGAGTGACTGCCAGGACTCACAGTGTACAGGAGTTCGAAGAGAGTTTCGGAACTGTGTCTTCATTTTTTGTCGACCGGTGAGATTACAGATATCTTTTTTCAATTAATTCACAGTTTCACATTAATTTGATCGGGGTTCTACAGATAGTTATTAGTTTCAGTTGACTTGAACCTGCCAATCGGATTTTGAGGAAATTGTACTTAATTTTTTTTCCAGTATTGGTTCAAGTTCAAGTTTTTTAGCTAATTTATATATAATTTATCTCAGTAAAATCCAAGTCTGGGTGATCACCATTAGAAAAATGTTGTCAGTTTTTGGCAGTATTTGCAAACAGCGAGACGCTTGTAAAAATTTAGCACATATTATGCTTATTGGCCTATATTTTGATGCTTATTGGCATCAGTCAAATCACTTATCTGCAAATTGCGATAGTTCAAGGTTCGAACTTATCAATGAATAAAACTGCTTGATTCGCTAATTATTTTCCCTTCGTATTTCAAGCTTCCTCAGTCGTTTCAACCTGATGTGAGTAAATAAAATGGGGAAGTGTTTTGATTCTATTAGCTGATCAAATTTTCATCAATGAAATATTCATCGACGAATTAGAGTTTTCATTCTGGTTTTTTTTAGTTCTTCAAGTTTCAATTAGTTTTCATTAGAATCGAGTTCTCTTTATTACTTCATGAAGCAATTCTTTGAATCAGTTAGAGCACTAGTTCATTTAGCACGGTTATGTAGTTCTGGTTAAAATTTGTTGGTCCCAATTTGTTGGCAATATGATTTTATCGTCAAAGTAGGAGTTAGGTCTAGATGGGTGACAACGCCGTTACACCAAAAATTCTGCGGATTCTAAATGTACATTAAAAAAAATAGCATAAATGGTCTTTTTTGGATAACTTGCCCCTGCCAGCGTCATATATTTTGCTTAAATAACTAAAGTTTCGAAACTCTTGTCAGATGAATCAATTTTTCTCAGAATCTTTAATGCGGCGTCGTCACTCAATATTGAACTGGCAATATTGTAAACAATTTGGTCTCAACTAAAACAATTTGGTATTAAACTGTTGTTCTTACATGTCTAACTTGTTGAACTCCTCCATTTTAGCACCCTGAGCGAGGACTTTGAGACTGACATTGAGAGGCTGCAGAAGAACCCGGACAAGATTGTGTGTCTGTGCAGTGAATATGATCTGGCAACAGGGATATTCACTAGTCTAGTCAAGTTAGTATCTCATGTACTGTAGTTTCTTGTACAGATTTAACATCTTATTAAAAGTTTCACTTCTGCTAACTAGTTTTAAATATTTTACCCTTAATGTGGCGAATCTAGAGAGACATATACTGGCTCAACGATATTTTACAATGTATGAAGAAAAACATGAATAAAACAGTTTTTGGTAAGTTTCAGAAATGTTGAGCCAGTTTTTGATTACTTTTCTAGTTCCGGTCTTGAATGCTTCAAATGCATTTCTCTAGTCTGTTTTTTTTATCAAGGTTTCGTTTTATTTTTTGTAAAAAAATTTTTTAGGTCCATGTTCGAGGACACCACCTTCCACCAGGCCATCAGAGACGTCCAGTCGGAGCCGGTACCCTACTTTGCCCAACTGAAGCCAGAAGATTATGTCCAACAGCTACACCAGACAGAGGCTGAAGTAGAAGCTCAACCCCACACACCTCCCGGAAGTGCCTATGAAAAGGAGGAAGGGGAGAGTAAAGTGGGCTCGCGGGAGAAAAGTAGACAGACTTCTGCTGCTAAGGTTGGAATATTCTTTGGTTACGTGTACGTTTTTCGCTAAATGATGCCACGAATTTCTTATCTCAAATAAGTTTGTGCTGTTTAGATTTCTTCAAACGCTCCAATTTTCGTTTTTCTGAACCAGTGTCAAACTTTTTGAAATTGTTGATTCTTCCTTTGTTAAACAGGTAAATGGTTTGAAGCGTGAACAGACTGATGTCTCATTCCAATTAGGAGAGGGTTATAGCAGACAGCTCTCGGCTCGATCTTCAATGAAGAAACAACCCTCTAATCTCAACAAGGAGTACTCCGGAATACTCAAACCAGAAGATACCTGTAAGTTTTTTTTGATCAAACCTTTCGAATATTTACTATAGTACTGAGAAGTTATCAACAAGTTCTAAGACTGTGTATAGAATTTTTGTTGATTTGAGTTTTTCTTCCATGGAGATGTTCTACAATAAAAGCAGTAGCTGTATCTTTGCAATCATCAGTTTTATAATTTTTCCGCCAATTGAAAAGGGGGAGGTATTTTGAATTCGGGTCTTTTAGTTTATTCTCTTTTTTTGTTTTCCACGCAAAATCAGGTGCCACAAATCATATTAAATCCCTTTGAGTCGTAACTCGAACGACATAAAAAAAACTTTTTAAAAAATTCCTGTTTGATTGAAACAGGTATTATGAAAATGTATGGGATTTGGTTTTTTTGATTTTTTTTTGAGACGCTTTGGAAAAATTTTTCACTTTTTTTTCAAAAATTTAGTTTTTCTCAAAAACTACTACCAATTTTCAACAAAGTGGTACCAATGCAAAGTCCACGAACTCCCCTGTGTGCCTGCATAATCCCCTAGTCTCTTTTTACCTTACCCTCCTTTCTACAGCCTTCGAAAAAGTGTGTGGGGGATTTTTGACCCAAAGTTTTGGATTTTTTTATTTTCTCGAATATTACCCTCCCAAAGCTGAACAGGTTGTGAAAGCTCCCCTGGATAAGCGGCTACGCCCAATTTTTTAAACAAAAAGTTATGGCCCTCAGAAAAGTCAAATTTTCGATTTTTGTACTGTTTTTGACACTTTTTAACTTTTCTCAAAAACTGCGCTCCCAAATCTGAGATTTTAATTTCAATTGAAAGCACGGGTTGGCAGAAGCTCCCCTGCATAAGCTGTTACGCCTAATTTTTTTACACAAAAATTAATGACCCTCGGAAAACTCGAATTTTCGATTTTTTGACTCTTTTTTTTGAAACTTTTAGACTACTCTCAAAAACTAATCTAGGATTTTGGGTTCAGCGGATAGAAAAAGTCGAGAAATTCTTTGATCTTTTTTTTAAACTTCTTGATTTTCTTGAAGGTTATTCTGCCAAATCGAACTCAAAAGAATTCACTTCTAGTTATTTTTATTAGAGAACCAACTGCGGTTTTGGGTGAAGCCCAGTTTATGAAATTTTCCTTCTCCCTTGTGCATCATGAAAAAAGTTCAAAAATTATCAAACAGGTCTTTCCAGCTTTAGTTGGCCTCGAGTTTTCCCGGTGTTGAAAAAAAAACTGGTTCGATTCTTTTTTCGATTTAGTCTAGTTTCGAGCGAATAAAGCGAGTGTGCAGGATGACAATAGCTTATTTTTAAAATTAAGTGAAGAAACTTAGTTTACTTGAGTAAAGTTGGTTTTTGAAGTTTTTTAACGCCACTTTGGGAATCAAAATTCAAAGTTTTCTGAAAAAAAAATTGAAAATTGTTTGATTTCATTTATGATATTTTTTATTTTCCAGTCATTTCTTTACAAAAACTGTTTTGCCATTAGCTATTTCTAGTATGGCTGTCAAATTGGGGGCTGATCTAAGATTTTATCCAGGAGGGGATGGATTTTCGAAAAGTTTCGGAAATAAAAAAAAATTGTTGACTTTTGTTTTTTTTAAGTCAATCAAATTGATTTTCTGAGCTCTCGCATTCTATTAAGACCATATTTTGACCAATTTTGTTTTGCGCCGCGGAACAGAAAAAAAAGAAACGGGCCAAAAAAGCGTTTTTAGGCACTTTTCCGAAAAATTTTAACCCAAAAATCTTAATTTTTTTGACGCGCGCTCCCCCCTCAAAATTAGTATATATTGGGTTTTGTGCCATTAGAAAAATGTTAGGGCGATTCAGCCAAAGATGTATATCTCAAAATAGTACATAAGGGATCCTTGAGTCGGCAGGGGGGAGAGATCGAATCCCTGAGGGGGTGAAATGAGGGAAAATGATAATAAAAATATTTTATAGCTTTTATTTTACACTATGGTCGGAGCATTGCACAATACAATGTATCCTTGTTTTAATCTTGAATTTTGATCTTTCAAAAAAGTTTTTCTGAAACTCACTGTTATTTTAGTCATGAGTGGTTTTGAGCCCATAGACGAAGAAAACTACAAACTACTTCAGAGTGTAAGAGCAGACCGAATCCAACAGGGCAAATCAGCAGGCATCACTTTCTCGGGTAACTTGAAAACATTTATTAATATAACTTAGGGAGATATTAATTTATTGTTACAATCATTCTAACGGCCACCACACAAAGAAATTTGCTATTGGCGCCTGTTTTGCAAGAGTCGATGAAAGCTCAGACTCAAATATAGGTCGCGATGATTTTTTTCGGTTCTTTTTCAGGAAAAATTGTTCAGCCTCAAATTGTTCAGGCTCAAATTTGTTCAGGCTCAAATTTATTTTTTTTGTGCTTTGACTTTTTATTTCTGTTTAAGTTTGGTTCATTTTCTTTGTTAAAAGGAAGGCAAACTTTATCGAATAGCGAAAGTGTAAAGGTCAGGAAAACGTGATCGATTTCAGATTTCCGAACGAAGCAAAAATTTTACCTATTGATCCAGTTTTTTCAAACTGATTTCATTTTATCAAAAAAAAAGTGTCATTAAAAATTGTTCCATAAATTCAAAGTGCTTTTTCGAGCCATCTTTTCTCTTGGAAATTCGAAAGTTGAGATTTTTTCAAAAAATAAGTCAGTTTTTTTTCTGTTTTCTGGCGTTCATTGTCTTTTTTCCAACCGTCTGTTGGCTATGTTTATATATTATCATTTCTTAATGGTCTGAAGTTGCCGAATGACTCTCTTTACAATTTTGCAGCAAAAATTAGAAACGTTTACTAAAGATAAAAGATACTGAACTTAACGGTATGTGTAAAAATTTGAGCCATGTGTCCTTGAGGTAAAAAAAAATTAGACCTAATTGAATATATTGACTCTCCTTTTCCAAACAAAGAGTTTTTTACCTGTGTTCATTAAGGTAAGGTTATGTGGGTTTAAAGTTTGCCAACATGGCCATATTCTGGACCATTTTATGCGTGTTTTGTAAATTTTCTATATGTTGCTGAAAGCCTAATGCAGAAAAATTTATGCGTGGTGAAAATTGTTGAGATGAGTCTAGTTATTTGGCCATATTAGTTCCCTATTTCAACGCTCAATATTTTTGTTTTGACCATTGGGTGAAGAAAAACACAGTAATCAAGTTTAATTAATCAAAATTCTAAAACAGTAATCAAAATGTGTGTTTATTGATTTTATTTAGAAAAACATTTCAAGGCTAGTTAAGGCCCGTCAAAACCTTCAGGACTTTGCCTTAATTTACGAGCAGTCTTGTTATTCGGACTTTCGAAGAAAACTCAATGTTTACGCTTGGGGTGGATTTTTTTTACTCAGTAAGTTTTCGATAATCGTAGTGATAGTTTCTAACAAAATTTTTTTATACCCTATTGAATATATCGACTCCCTGAAATCAAAAAAATATTTGACCTCTGAGTATTTTTGCAAAGTTCTGGGAGTTTGAAATTTGCTTGCCATTTTGGCCATGCTCTGGACTAATTTATGGGCGCTTTGAAGATTTTATTCATAATGCTGAAAGGGTAACGCGAATAATTTTTGCGTAGCGAATCATGCCGTACAATAAAACTGTTCCAATTTGAGTCGAGACTAGCTAATCGGTCGTATTAATCACGCATGACCCAATTTTTTAAACTAGATCTTTGATATTGTTCAAAGTTAAATGTTTTCAAATATTTTTTTCCAAAGCCATTCGATATGAAATAAAGGGCAGTCGGAATATTCAGGGCTTTGACCTGAAATACGAACAGTTTTGTTTATTTTTATATCTCAATGCATATGGGCGAACTATTTGACGCAAAAATTTTTTTTGGTGCTTAGTATTAACTGTAAGATGCAAAATCAATGAAATGCATCAAAATATTTGTGTATTTTAGGTCTTTTAAAAGTTTTTTTTTCATTTGAAGACGACTAAAATGGCGGTCGGAACATCCAGGGCTTCACCTTGATATGAAAAGTGTGTTAATGAGCGTCCTTTTTTTTGGCACAAACTATAAAAATTGGCTTATATGCAGTTGATAGTTTTCCATTGATCAAATAAAATTATCGTTTGTTCGAAACTAAAAATAGTCTTTTCGGATGTTTAGGGAAATTGAAACTCAAGTGTAATCTAATTCAGGTGTGCACGAAGAACTAGAGAGGCCACCGAAGAATGAGCAGCAGCCTCGTGAGGGTACTTCGTCCTCACTTATGCATCCTCACATGCCAGCTACTCCTGAGTTGAGAATGATGGAGCGAAACAACAAGATGATGGAAATGCTGAAAAGGTGAATTTGACTCTTTCGTTCTGAAAAATTTATTTATCTAGGTTTATACTGTTACTTGAGATTTTTTTATGACATTCAATTGTCAATAATGAATATGTAACAGAATTTTTCATTCCTGGTTTTTTAGGACTGCGAATATGGTATTTTATTTTGATATATTTTTGTGGAGCAAATTAACAAAAAAAATTAAATTTATTAATTGTTCGATGACCGAATGTTCCATGACCGGTAAATTATTCAAACCAGAAGTATCAATCGTTCCTAATTAATAAGGTACCGCACGAGATAGATGTGGTTCACCGTATGTGAAGATACGATTTGCTTTTAAGTTCGTTCTCTCTCTCTCTCTCTCTCTCTCTCTCTCTCTCTTCCTCTTCGTCAAATGGGTTTTAAAATAATTTCAGTGACGCCGAGATCGCCTTCTCTGCTGAGAAGTCTCTCGAGAATTGTCTGTCTAACATAATCAATGAGGCAGTGGCCCAGACATTCAACCCAGTCATGAAGCCCCGCTTGATAGCCGAAAGTATGCACAGAGAAGACACCAACATTTAGACTTAGAATTCCTATTCATTGTCACAAGATTTCTCTAAATCAAATTGTACAGGCCAGTTTTTTTGCCGAAGCTCAAACTTCAGTTTTTGGATTCAATGCACTGTTGTTACTGAAAAACAAGTTAAAAATTCTTTGTTGGATTGAGCAATTAAAATCATAATAGCAAAACATATAATAACATTTAATGTTTGAGCTGGTAAAATTATTGGAAAATATCGCGAAGGCTTTTTACCATCTATCTTGTTCTAATCTTTTAGGATGCTACTTCATTACTTCTGCATATAAAAGTTAATCATGTGCAAAAATTGTAAAATTGTAGATAAAAAATGCCAAATGATATAAATTGAATTATTTTGAAATATGGAATGTTTTACAGAAACGCCAAAAACTACTAAACGCCGAAAAGACACACTTTTTTTGGTCGAAACATTTCACAAAGGGTCCTTTTTGACGTTTTTTTTGATATTTTTTTACAAACGTCCTTTTTGACATTTTTTGGCAACGATGTGTCTACGGCGGAAAAAAAATGTCAAATTAAAAGAGTCTGGGGTGTTTTAAGAGAGTTCAGGAAATGCATTTGATTGACCTAGAAAAAAAATCATTTATTGAAAATACGCCGCCCCGCTCCTCGAGAAAACTCTAGATCCGTGCCTTTGTACATACAATTTTCTACATGAAATTTTTAATTGTTCGTGCGTCATTTCAATAATTTTGCTTCGCTGTTCAGACTAAAAAGTTGATGACCGGCAAATCCACAATATTCCAACAAATTTTTTGATAAAAGAACCAAAATGATTGCATGCTGTAAGCCGTTAGTGTTGCTTGAAATTATGCAATAAAATGTATAAAATAAAATGCTTCAAATGAAAAACATACCATTTATATTCGTATTTTCCTGCTCCTCTGTGCTGTTACTGGAAACTTTGTTGACTTCCATAATGCCGTAATTTTTAAATGGCTCGAAAAGGAAATGTGTTGTTGCTTGTGTTTTGATCAGTGAAAAAGAGGCCGTGATTAACTGGAGTCACGATTCTTGAACACGGTCGATCCGTATAGTGGATGTTGAGACCATTAGCACCAGTCTGGCTGTTGTAGTGATGGAGTCATTGGAAATCGATCATTTTCAGAGAGCTCTCGGTTCGCAAAGGAACCAGGTCAATCGTATATATTATCACGTTGTCAACGATATGTTGGCCATGGAAACTGTTGCATCGATCTGAAGTTTTCTGGCGTAATGTGTATTCCTTGAGTAGTGTAGTTGTACCGGGTTGGCTGGCGAAACGCAAAAGGGTTAGATGGTACCGTTGTTGTACTAGTATCAAAAATTATTGCTGCCGTAGGCACGTTGTACCTGTTGTTGTAAGTTGTAGTGGAGGGTTGCATGGGAATACTACTGCTGGCTGGTTTTGTATGTAGAGATAGTTGCAGAGTAGAGTGACTGGAGGAGTCATCTATCTGTATCCCGTGTTATTTTCGTATCGTCACATTTGTTTAATTAGCGCACATTTGCGGCTCCGTAGCGAAGAGGCATCAATTAGAAGATTTTGCCTGTCTGCTAAAGGTCACAACACTGTATCATCTGCCAATTCTTCCAGTTCTTGCAGACATTTCAAAAGTTCTTTAGCCTTTATTTTCATTTCGTCTTTATCCGTAGAATGCGCAATTTAGCTGCTAAGTTATGGTTCAAGGCTCTCAAGAGAAGAGTAGCGAAATGTTCAAATGATTGTTTATGAGCGCTTGTTGTGCCATTTTTGAAGCCATCGTTGAGGTACTGAAAAGGTTTATTAGAGGGATGGCTTAATAAAGTTAGAAGAGAGATTATAAAACGAAGTGAAAGTAGTTGCAGGTATCAATTGATTTTTGTAGAGACAAAAGTTAAGAACGGTCCTGTTGGCACTACGAGAGTACGTAACTCGTATAGGGCTTTTATAAGTTTTTAAGAAACTAAGAAGCATCAAGTACTCCAATTGTTTTTCATAAATTTTTGTTAGCGGTGAAACTTAGATGTGAAAAAAAGTTTTACTTTCTGATTAAATTGCAAACATTTTTGACCTCCCTGGCGCAAGTTATAAAGGTTAAGCAATGGGCGTTCTTTTTTTTGTACAAGTTTCGAGAAAACTTTTGGTATGTCGCGTTGATTTTTCCAGTCCTGAACTTTTTTATGGAATTGAAGTGAATTACACAATTGTGAGGCTTTCCAAAATATCGAAAATTTGTTTTAGGATATGGTCGATGAATCTTTTTTTTTTCGTTGCGGGTTAAGTGAGTTTTGGCTTTCGGTTTTTGGCTATTACTTTTTTATATAGAAAAACTTGTTATTTTTGTTAAAACAACCCTGGTTCCCCCATTAGTAGCAGTAAAGGAAGCGAAGAAATACGTCGGGATTTTGGCCTGAATTGCGAGTGATATAAGCACTCTGGTCATGGTGTTTTTCATAAACTAGCACAGTTATGAATTTCAGTTGATAAATATGTTAGCACAACGAATATGAGTATGCGTTTGAAAAAAATGTTATGAGAAAAAAGTTCAATCTGACCTGATTGAAACTGATGCAGATCCTTGAAGATAAAACCGTGCCAGTCAGCCCCTAGTCCCAGAAGTTGATCCTGTTTTTCTGAGCACCGAGGATTCTGCTCTCGTTCTTTTACACTAGAGAAGCTGCTGATGACGATATCATGACTATAGTTTTTTTGTCTGTAGGTAATTTTACTTACAGTACTCGTTGCGGACCCTGAGGTTGGAGATTCTGAGGATGGAGATCTTGTTTGACGAAGGTGATATGCTTTGCGAGATACAATTGCTTGTAGACATAGTAGTCCATAGGGGGGGGGGGGGGGGTCAAAACCCTTTTTGAGAGTAGCTTACTTGACTCTGGGTGCATCGGAGACTGACTTCCTGTGTGAACTTGGCCTCTTTATCCCTCTGAGGTCGCCAAACACCTAAGATTGAAGGCACATTTATCTTAAATTGTCTTCGTCACCTTGTCCATAAGAAGTTATTACTTCATCATCCCAACTGTGATCACACTATTAATTTAATAATTTTTAACTGGAACGTACCGCCTTTTCAAATAATTCATGCGAAAGATTATTTGCATCATGAATATGGTTATTACTGCTACTATTTGTAGTATCTACTTAGAGTTTCTGTAGCACCTGTAGACTAGGATTGAGGCTTTTTGGACAGAGGAGATCAAAATAAGCCCATGCAGCAGTAAACAAAAACAAAATTGAACAAAGATAGCTTGTGGTTATGTATGTAGCGCAGGAAATTCCGACAATAATCTAAAAATTAAAAAAATGTTACATAAAAAGCTTTTTCATTTGTTTTTTTTGCAAATCGTGCGATAAATGGATCTGACGAAAGCCAAAAAGTTAGGCTTCTTCAACAGTCGTAGTAAAATAGACATATTGGGCAACGGTTTTAGTCGGAAAAAAAACGAAAAGTAATCAAAAAAATTTTCAAAAAACTTGTTTTAAAGTTTTGTATTCCGAAGGTAGCGCTAAATTTTTTTGGAGTTCAGCTGCAGTTCAAGTCATGTCTCATCTGTCTAAAACAAACCTGCTTGCTTGTTTTTTTGCTCGAAGTTCGTCTAAAACTCAAAAATTTTAAACCGGTTTCTCCCGATAATGAGACATTTTTTTAAAAAAATTTCAATTTCATTCGAATCAGGCCTGAAAGGGCTTTAATATGATAGATAATACGATATTTGTGTTATCTGATTTTGCGCGAAAATCAAAACAAACGAAAAAAAAGAAAAAACTAATACACAACCAAATCCAAAATTCATGCCTTAAATTTTCTGGGCGGAAAAATAAAAATTTGTTCTGACCTCTTTTGAAATGGCAGCGGAGGCTTTAACTAATGAAATGACCATAAAGTCCCTAATTGATGAAATATGTTATGTTATAATTGAACGGCGGTACCAATCAATGAGCTGTAGTTAAGCGCTGTAAAACATCCTGTGTGTTTTATGACCTATAAGGAAAAGAATCAAACTTTCAAAAAAACCCAGACCAGGTGTTCAAAACGAAGCAGAAAATTGCCTTTTTCTCTATAATTCCGGAGGTAATAATTTTTTTACGGTGTACTTTTTCAGCAGAAAATTTTTGGATTTTAATGAGCATTTTGACGGATTTTTATACGCTCTTACAAAAACTGACACAGAACTCAAATTTAAAGAAATATTCAACACATGGTCAGTTTGCAAAGTAAAGGGGGTTAGAAAACGCCATTTTGGGATAGTAAATGCGCGGATTTTATTGATTTATTATTAACACGTTTATGAGCTGCAATTCGTCTGGCGCAGAACTAATTCCGAATTGAATTGAAGCAAACTAATTGAAGCAATAAACGCGTGACTAGATGAGAAACTTGTCACATGAGAAACTTGGCATTAGCAGCCGGGAGAAGATCTGCAAAAACCATAAACTAAAAAAATTTCAATCAATAGTGAATGCACATCTTCAAAGGGCAGTCGCATCGTTCAGGGCTCCGCCGTGATACGAGCAGTCTTGTTACTTTTCCGCTGCTTTTGGCTTATCGTCTCCAAGTGTTTATAAATTTGGTGCTAGAATGTTTTTTTTCAAGTACTTGTATGAATAATGAACAACTACCAAATGAATGCTCGACAAAATCATAGATCCGCCCTGCAGAAAACCAATCAAGTCTGTTTATTCTCAAACTTCGCTTAGGTAGAATTGTAAAAATCATATTTGATTACAATTGAACAATTAAAATTTAAGCCGAATGACAAAATATGAATGTGTATGTTAGTTATATCCGTCCTTGGTCATGTAGGGATAGTTGTCCACTTCGTATGGTTTCGGCTCATCATAGGCTAGTTCTATGGGGGTGCTGAATTTGGCATTCTTCCTGAACGGCGTATCGAATGTCTTGATCTGCGTCATGCCCTAAAAAAATCACTATATAAATCACTAAATTTGAATCTAAAGTGACGCCAGGTGTTTCCAAAAAAAAAATCAGCATCGAGCAAAAGTTAATAAATAAATGGCGCTCACAGTTATTTTTAGATTTTAGGTATTAAAATTTCGATTGGCGTCTAATTTTTTCGTGCGTTTATAACTTAAAATTGGGCACACAAACGCACGGGCGGATCTAGGATTTTTCGAGTGGGGGAGGGATTTTCAAAGAATTTTCGAAAATTTTGTCGACCTTTTTTTTAAGTAGAGCAAATTGATTTTCCAAGCTCACCCACAGCATTAAAAAGACCCCGTTTTGGTCAAATTTTGTGCGCCGCAGGCGAAATTTGGAAAAAAGTGGCAAAAAAGATATTTTTAGGCACTATTTGGAAAATTTTGACCAAAAAACCGCGTTTTTTCGGCGCGAGCTCCCCCCTCAATTTTTTAGGGGTCCGTCATCAAATATGATATCTCAAAAAAGTACAAAGGGGGGACCTTCTGGGTCGACAGGGGGTCGAATCCCTGAGAAAGGAGTGTCCTTTCAATCTTAATCAATCTGTAGAAAAAAAACATACAAAAACTTGTTTATTTCAGATAAAAATGAGAGAATTAGATCTGATTGTTATTCGATACTGTATTTGGGCAGACCGTTCAAAAAGGATATCAAAAAAGAGAAAAATCTAAACCCCTGTACTTACGTGGGATTTGTCCACTTTTTGCGTCCAGTATGAGATGGGCATCTCTTTGTTGGCGTCGTGTATCATGGTGACCGGGTGTTCTATGGGCGTAAACTCCTTGTTGTAGTGCTCATGAGTCACCGACTCCTTGGGAAACTCATTTGCACCCGGCATGTCGCCCTCCTCCATCACCTCAGAGCTGGAGCAGATATGAACAAAATTGAGGACCCAAAAAGTGTCAGAAAAGAGAAAGTTTTAACTCGTGATTGCCTTTGCTTGTTATTGTATTGAGTTATAACCGATGTGGTTAACTCATAGAGTAATTTCGGATAGGGTACACCGTCTGCTCGTCACGCTATCTTACTTTCGGCCGGATAGATTCGTGCAACTTCTTAGTCTAATACCGATCCTAATCTTACTCTTATACTTTCTAGTCTCAGGGTGTTTAACTAGTCTCTGCTAGGCTCAATAGATCTAGGGTATACTGGTTTGTTGCGGCTGCTGAAGTTCTCTTGGAGAGACAACTAATTTCTAAGTTAAATTCAAATCTCTCTGGTGCTGAAATTACAAGTAATTTCAGCACTTACAAATAAGTGGGTTGTTAGTTAGATGGATCATGATTGGTTAATATTAAATACTTTACAGTGGTAAAATATCTAATGTATCCAATCATAAAATATAGTTTAGATCAGGTTCCACCCATCCGGGTCTTACAGAGTTTTTTAGAATTATCTTTCTGCAATTCAAAGGATGGATGATGAACGTTGGTATTTGTCGAACATCGTATTCTTGTCTGGTTCCTCTTGTTAGAGAAGTTCCAGGACGCTGGAGTAAGGGGCATCAATCGTTGTGTCTTCTTGTGACAACGACTGTGTTTCCCAACGAAATCAATCTGATTTCAAAATGGTTTGCTATGACGGGTTTTTCTGTATTATGTAGAGAACTTGTTTTGTGTTCAACCTCGTCTGGGAATGGCTCGGAGATTTTGCGTGGAGGGGATGCCTTGTAACTCGGATCTGTACGTATACTTGAACATCGAGGTGGTCATTGGTCTAGTTCAATGAAGTCCTTTTCTGCGAAGTCAAGTCGTACTCTAAATCCTTTGAGTTGTGATTGTGGACGGCACATCGGTTGTGGTTAGCCATTCTTGTTCGAGTGTAGTGGGGTCAATTTGTCTTTGGATGTTCGTCTTTGTTGTTGTGTGTTGATCTATATACTGCAAGGTATGATTTACATTTTATAAAATTGTTATTAGTTCGGTTTTTTAATTATGAATTTAGTTAGTTGTTTTCACAAAAGCATTTTGTTTTAGTTCGGTTATTTTGAAGAGTTACTCACCCTTGAGTACCTCTTATTAAAAATAGAAGTGTGGTCACAAAGCGTGGATGTAGCGCGGTGGGTTAGGCCGGCTATAGAGCATGCTCAGGACGTCCTCTCTGGTGGGTTAGGCCAGGAGTGGGAGTATGATTTCGTGCGGTTTCTTTGAGAGGTCCTGTTATGTGATAACGTTTTATGTTGGGTTTATGTTGGTCTTTCTTATGTTCCTTTGGTTGTAACCTTTTTTCAAAAATCAAATTGTTTTTGTTATGGGTTTGTCTTTCGACTTTTTTGTGTTTTATTATTTCTTTCTTAGACTTTATAATAGTCTTAAAAAAAGAATAAATTATCCAGTTTTAAACTGGGTTAATCCGGTTTGGGTACCGTTGGTTTTCTTTTCTTAGTCATGCTGTTAATTTATGATTTGTGGTATTTATTAAGCTGCGTTGGTTAATTTGGTTTAGTATATAATTCCTTTCCAACCGGGTTAAAGGAAAGTTTGAAACTTGTTATCGTGTGTTAGAGTTGTTGAGTGTGAAAACTTGAAACTGAAAATCATTATTTAAACAATTCTTCGTGGGCGAGTTGTGCGAGTTTGGATAGAATTCCTGTGCGAGTGAATAAAAATATCAAAAGGTTAGTACTGCATTTTCATTTTATCAATTTATTACTTAGAATTTCAATTTTACTGCTAGTTTTGGGGGAAATTTAAAGTTATAAATTTTCATCATAATTAAATTTACTGCTTTTTGGGGGAGTAATTTATAGATTAATTTACTACATTTGGTATGAATTTCATCAGATTATCTTGTGGAAAATATTAATGAAGTTTAGTATAATTTTAACAAGTTTTTATTTTTTATTTTTTTTTTCTGTTTTTTGCAGATGATCGTGGTATGAAGACTAAAAATCTAAAAGAAACATGAGTAAAGAATGGTTAGTATTAATTTAAATTTATTAGTTAAGAATATTTTTAAATTATACTTACCTGTTAATCGTCTGGGAAAAAGCCGTGGGGAAAGATGTCGCGTATTATGTCTGAATTTGTTAGTAATTTTGCTAGTATGCGAATGATGTTTTTAGTTTGGAGCAGTGGCCAAAGCAATTGAAGTGCTTTAATGGTTTTTTTTAGTTCTTCGGTGCCTACTGCAAACTCATAAGGTGTGTTTTGAATGAAGTTATATATTTTGTGATTATATTTAGTATTGTGAATAAATTCTAATATAGGGATTTCTATAGGTTGGATAAATTCATGTGGGATAGGGAAAGGGTCTGGATTCTTCGGCATTAAAGGTCTTCGTGATGGGACAAAATATATACATTTGTGTTACTGGGTCATAATTGCGGAGGATGCCGTGGACGTTAGTATCTTTGATGCAATAGGTGAAATTAAGAAAAAATGGTGAAGTGTACTTCGAGTTAAGAAACTGAAAACGATGGTATGGTTGTCTTGATGGAGTATGTAGATCAAAATGATTTTGTATGAAGCGATAGTATGTATATGTGTGAGTCTGTTTAGTGCGTAACATAATGTCGTGTGAACAGTGCAAATCGCGTTCATGTGGTGCAAGGAAGTGAAAGGTTAGTGAAAATAATTGAAATTTTTCTTTAAAGCTTTCGTAAGCTTGCATATCAGTTAGTGCTTCAGAATTGATGTGATCATATTTTCTATCAAAAATATTAAGTGTGAATACATATGACGTTTTGATGAAGAATTTTTCTGTTAGTTGTGGGTTAGCGAAGCGGTCGTCATCTAGAAAATGGTCTTGATTAGTTGGGATGATATTATGGTCGTAATACTCTATTGTAAGTTCGTTAGCTCGGGGTGCAGTGAATGTTTTTAGTGATTTTTTATATCCTACATAAGTAAACTGTCTAGATGTTAGTGTTGCGGTGAGTCTATATAGCATATCTTTATTCTTTTCAGTATCGTTATGAGTATTAGATAGTGGCAGGCAACGGGGATTAGTAAAATGGTAATATGCTGTCCAATGAAGTGTAGGCATTAAAACATGTTCATCTACAAAACTACGTGTGTCGTTAGTGTCGTTAGGTGTGTTTAAAGTATATTGTGGGAATGAGGGTAAGGTGATTGCTAGAAAATCTTTCGTGTTGGTGTGGTGTGGATGATTAATATATTCGCAGGCTGTTCCTGGTTTGGTCGGGAATGGATGGTTTGGGAATTTTCTTTTAAAAGTGCGATAAGCTCGGTGAGTGCTATTTGATGATTCGGTGGATGTGGATGATTGTGCTAATGATGCAGTATAAGCTGAGGAGGGTGTAGGAGTAGGTGGGTTTGAGGATTCTATTGTGGATGAAATTTGATTTATAGTGAGGGTGTTAGGGTGTATTAGCTGTTGTTGTAGGGTGATAAAATTATCGAGTTCCTGGGAGATTTGGGGAGTATCGGGAGAATTAGATGATCGGTCGGAATGAAATGGAGAATAGGTTGAGGTTACTTGTGAAGCATAAGATGGAGTAGAAACGGATGGGAGTGGATTTTTTAGTGGGATCGGTTGAAAAGGGGGTTTTGAAAAAACTGAGGAGTTGGTTTGAAAATTATTAGATGGAGATGGTTCGGAGTCTGCAAATTTGTCAGGGGTTTCTATGTTAGGCTTATTAAGTTGTGAAATGGAGTATAAAACTGAAATATCTGAATTAGTATCCGAGTTCATGCTTGATGTTATATTAATAGTTGGAAAATCGGTTGGCGGGAAAGCAAAAAGTGGGATTATTGTGATTGGAGTGTTGAGGTTGGTTGGATGGGAATTTGAGCGGTGTAGGGATCCAAGTTGTCGGCTCATCGTGGGCTAAAAAAATAATTATTTTGAGACTGAAAAGCGGTGGTATGGGGTTGTTCTATAATTTGTTCATGTGTATTATCATCTTGTGAATGATGTGTCATTATATGTTTTATGGGACTTTGCGATATGTTTGGTCGAAAATTTGGGTTATGTGTTATTGCTAGGTTTCGGAAATTACGTGGGACTAAGAATAATGGATGGTTATTTGGTAGGGGTGGCAACTGTGGTGCTGTAGGCATTACTTCTATATTATTATGTTCTTCGTCGTATGTGTTCTGTGTTGTCGCTATTTTTGTATTATATTCTTTTATTTGTGCATCTAGAAGAATTTTGTTAATTGATGATGAAAAAATTCCAAAAAATTCTGCAAATAGTATGCGTGCTACACTTGCTTGTCTATTTACTTGTGTGTGTATAGCGCATGTGTTATAGACTTCTTTTAAGTGTGAAAAAAGAAATCCTATAAAGTTAAACATTGCGTAGAGGATAGTTAATTTTTCTAAGATGTAATAGGGCCATCCTAGAAAATCGAGAATTTCATTTTTTAGTGTAACAAAGCTAAAAAAAATTTATAGGTGAAATTTCTTGTGGTCTAAATTTTTCACCGTTTAGATATATATAGTCTTTAATGTCTTTAAAATATCCGCTATAATCTTGTGTATAAATATCTGCAAATCCTGCGGTTTCGGCAAGTTTGCGTAAATTTTGGTCAATTGATTGTCTTTGTATAGTGTCCATTTGTGTTAATAATTCTTGTGTTCTAATGTGGTGTTGGATATCTGATTTTGAATATATTCCAATTGATTGTAAACCAATATTTGGATTACGAGCAATAGCTCTGATGCTTTCGGGTGAAAATTTTTTGAGTGATTGCATTAACGTGGGGTATGGGGTAAGAAGATAATATTTATCTTCATCAGGGTTCAATTGTACTACATTGTGGCTACTTTCTGATCCACATGGGACTGCGGTTTCCCAAAAATATGTTCGTCTTGAAAGTGTGTCAACAAAATGTACTTTACTTTTATAAAAGATAGGGATTTTTTTATAGCATCGTTTATCTTCAAAAACATATAGT